ACAGGGATACTCAAGGTCCTTTACAGGGATACTCAAGGTCCTTTACATGGCTACTCAAGGTCCTTTACATGGCTACTCAAGGTCCTTTACATGGCTACTCAAGGTCCTTTACAGGGATACTCAAGGTCCTTTACAGGGATACTCAAGGTCCTTTACAGGGATACTCAAGGTCCTTTACAGGGCTAACGAAAACGTCCTTTTTAGGGTTTCCATAAAGTACAAACAGCCCTTTTCAGGTCTACTAGAAATTAAACAGTCCTTTTCAGGGCTACTAGAAAACTAAGTCGCCACTAATATAACCACGTCCAGCATGTGCATGGAGATTTCAGCCATCATGGAGATTTCAGCCATCATGGAGATTTCAGCCATCATGGAGATTTTAGCCATCATGGAGATTTTAGCCATCATGGAGATTTTAGCCATCACAGAAACCTCTGACTCGATTAAGACGACGGAGTATCATCAGTCTGCCATCCTCGTCACCGACTCGATGAGAACCCTCGAAATAGAAACACATAATGTATGCAGACTGGCGAGAGGCAATAAAAAGCAGCAGACTCACAAGGATTGTATGGATCTTTAGCCCTGGTCATGCAGGAATTCAAGGCAAAGAACGTGGTTATAAGCTAGCCGGCCAGGCTGGGATTGGTGGCACCATGCAATTCGATCCACCAACAGTCATGGCAGCATTGACAGCATGGTTCAACGACCACAGAGAGGATGAAGGAACCGCATCACACACAATGGATAGACTAAGGGAAGATGGTGTCTCTAGAGGGTCGGGGAGAGACAGCAACCTGCGTGGAAAATCCAGAAGAATATCCAACCAGCTGTTAACTGGCACAATCAGCAGGCAGACCCTTTCATGGATCCTGGAGAGGAGGGAACAGCAGCTATGGCATTGTGCCGCCTGCAATGATGCCTATTCTCCAACCAAGTAAGTAAGTAAACAGTCCTTTTCAGGGCCCCAAAAAAAACTAAATAGTCCTTTTCAGGGCTTCCAGAAAACTAAACAGACCTACCAGGCTACCAAATATCCTCAGTCGCATTGAGGACAAGACGAAGGTATGAAGAAACACACAGAACTTCATGAACTTA